TTGGACAATGAAAGACTGAAAACTAGCCATCAATCAACTGCTCCTCCAAACGTGAGTCGATCTCGTTAGCGCCTTGCAATGCTACTATATTTTCAACAGTCTCCATCACCATTTTTCTGAAATAAGAAAGAGCAATCGGTAATTCTACCTTCTATGATGATCACAACATGACTGATCTCTTCAAGGTCCCATATATCAAAAAGGAATACCTGTACTGCTCGTTTTCATCTTTTAGGTCATCCACAATTCGTGCAATCATTTCAGCACTTCCTACCTTTTGAGCCATCTCTACAGTAGTGTCCACAAGTTGCCTGAAAACATCCGTTGAAAATTATAGTTTACACAGAAAATTTTAGAAATACAAGACGAAGTATTTGCCAAGTACCTTACCTATAGTTCCTTCTATCCATAGCCATACGTTGGGTCCAGAAGGCTTTAAAGAAATGTGGCAAGATTTCGTCGCGGATATATGGTGCTTCCACACCATCTGTTGCGCAACATTGTTTGACGACCTGATAAGGATAAGAAGATTTTAGAAAATTGTCATTTTAAGAAGACAAAAACTAAGCACGAAACTCACCTTTAGCACAATTTTCTTCATTTCTTCGTCGGGAGAAGCGAATTCTCTGATGAGAATAAGCATCACTTCCTTAGTATAGTAAGAAGCATATTCAGCGTCCATAAGTGGAATAAGATAGCCAATGGCTTTGAGGAAAGCGGCTAGACCTTTACCACGATGCATCCGAATACCCTAAATGACAAAAAATCAATTTTTTATATAGAAGAAGAAATTTATTTGAGAGCTACTGAGGCAGTTGTAATACCCCCTCAATGTAGACAAACATCCACGCAAAATGCAAGAAATCTTACTTTCCACAGTGGTTTGAGTACGGAGTCAAATGCTTCAATACCGTATGGGGTGGCAGCTTCAGCCAATGCAGCCAAACACAGAGCAGTGATAGTTCGCACCTAAGAATATGTTATATTGGTTTGAAAGCTGATAAGAAAGTACCACAACTGACCTTCTGTTGCTCATCTTCCAATCCACCCTCAACAATCTCGACAAGAGCCTTCAAATGCGGTAGGACAGCGCAGCCCATGAGAATAGCCATTTGTTGTACGATTTTGATACCTTAAGAAGTTGCGCTCACTTTGCGCAAAACATATGATGAGAATATCCAAAAAATTTACAGTATCGTACCTGTATGTCTCGCTTGCCAACTTTTCCTACTTTTACAGACAGCTTTTAGGAAAGGAAGTAGAGCAGGAATACCAAGAGCAGAAGCAACAACAGCAAACGCACGAGCAGTAGTGTTTCGGACATATCTGAATAAAATATTTGATATATATATATATATTTATTTATTTATTCATTTATTTATAAATAGATATGCATAGATAAAGATATATGCATATAATGTATATATATATATATAGTATATATATATAATATAC